ACCTGCTTGAAAGTAGTATAGGTGCTCATATAGAATGGTTAGTTAATGAACCAATGCACTGCTAATAAAAATCGAATATAAGGACTCACATTTAGTAATGCTTCCTGCAGATGCAATAACACACAAGTCAGATCGCCTTGCATATCCTTGGAGTCTTTTCTTTCCTCCTATCGGGTAAGTCTTGCTGAGTACAATTGAGTACTCAGGGTTTTATCCCCCCTGTTGCAGGTGACAGGTGGATGCTAAAGCTGACCATTGTGTGTGGATTCCTCTTGGTGGACTCAGAGAGGATTTCCTTTACGCTGCGATGAAAGCTCTAGTTTGGTTTTGGTGAATTGATGAAACCCTAAGTGCTAACCTAGTTTATCAAGTGATCATGAGATAGGTAGCACACTCCAAATGGTGAAGCAAATGAAGATCATAGCATGATAAAGATGATGGCATGGTGATGATCAAGTGCTTCGACTTGGAAAGAAGAAAGAGAAAAACAAAAAGCTCATGGCAAAGGTATAATTTGTAAGAGCTATTTTATTTTGGTGATCAAGACACTTAGAGAGTGTGATCACATTTAGGATTGATAGCCGTACTATTAAGAGGGGTGAAACTCGTATCGGAATGTGGTTATCAAAGTGCCACTAGATGCTCTAACTCATTGCATATGCATTTAGGATATAGTGGAGTGCTAACACCCTTGAAAATGTGTGTGAAAATATGCTAACACATGTGCACAAGGTGATACATTTGGTGGTTGGCACATTTGATCAAGGGTGGTGAAGTTTAGGTGCAAGGATAAGAAACTCCACCGGTGGAGTGTCCGCCCGTAGAGTGCGGACAGTCCGACGGTGCCACCAGCGCCCTAGACAGAAAAGACATAGGTCACTAGAAGTGACCGGACGCTAGTCTCGGTTGGACCGGCGCGTCCGGTCAGTGGCAGCAGAGGGCATGCGTTTCGGTCTCATGATCGGATGCTGGGTCGCTCAGCGACCGGACGCTGGTGTGGTGCGTCCGGTCAGTGCTGACGTACGCTGACGTAGGGCGTACAGAGGAGACGTTGTGTGACCGGACGCTGGCTGTGTCCGGTCAAGCATGACCGGACGCGTCCGGTCGGGAAAAATCGTGTTTGGAACCTTACTGGAAACGACCGAACGCTGAGGTCCAGCGTCCGATTACTTTCTAACTGACGCGTCTGGTCAACAGATGACCGTTGAAATCTGACGAACTGTATTTGAAGCAGGGGACACGTGGAGTGAATCATGTGACCGGACGCTGAGGGCCAGCGTCCGGTCGATCGGACCGGAGCGTCCGGTCACCCCGCATTGTACCCAGTGAAGGGGTACAACGGCTCTATTTCGTGGGGGCTTCTATTTAAGCCCCATGGCCGGCTCAAGCTCACCCTCTTGGTCATTTTCATTGACATAACAACCTTGTGAGTTTAGCCAAAGCCCTCCCACTCATTTCCATCATAGATTAAATATCTTTGGGAGATTGGTAGTGATCCAAGTGCATTGCTTGAGTGTTTGCATCTAGAGGCACTTGGTGTTTGTGTTTCGCTGCGGGATTCGCTTGTTACTCTTGGTGGTTGCCGCCACCTAGACGGCTTGGAGCAGCAAGGATCGTTGAGCGGAGGGTGGTGATTGTCTCCGGCTCCGATCGTGGTGATTGTGAGGGGTCTTGACCTTTCCCCGGCGGAGCGCCAAAAGGTACTCTAGTGGATTGCTCGTGGCTTGTGTGATCCTCATCTTGTGTTGGTTGTGCGGCACCCTATTGAGGGTTTGGCGTGTGATGCCAATTAGCGTGTGAACCTCCAAGTGAGTGTATCGCCACAACGAGGAGTAGCTTGCCGGCAAGCAAGTGAACCTCGGTAAAAACATCATTGTGTTCATCATTGATTCCGAGGTGATTGGTCTTCATTGTTATCCACACTTGTGATTGATTGGTTCATACATCTACACGGTGGTATAACCTTCTTGCCTACTCTTTACATTACCGCAAACTAGTTGACAAGCTCTTTAGTGTAACTAGTTGTGAGAGCTTGTTAGTTTGGTTAGTGTGGCTCTTTAGTTAGTTTTTGAGAGCACACTAACTTAGTGTAGTGATATAGCTATTGTGTGGATATACTTCATCTAAACTAGAATTGTGGTAGGTGGCTTACATTTTGGTAGGCTAGCGCAAAACTCGCTTCGCTTCATAATTGTCTAATCCTTTTGTTAAGTGTTGTTGTAGAAATTTTATTAGGCTATTCACCCCCCCCTCTAGCCATTAGGACCTTTCATGCGATCATAGTTTTTATTTATTACTCTCACCAACTATTTTTATAAATGAAAGTTGTATAATCTGTTGTCATAGTTTATATAACAATGGCCCCCTTCGCTGGTCTAAAACTTGGTTGAAACTGACTTGTTTGACTGGTTGTTGTGAGAGAAACACTATAGCGGCTGGTTGATGAACAGTGTCCACTGAGGAGGAGCAGCCGGCTGGTCACCAGACCAGCGAACGCGCCTAATGCTTCATCATATCATGAACATGTATTTATTTCCGCTGTAATTCTGATCACATGTTTATATTCCACTGTTAAACTAAATTGTTCATAACTCTGATAACATGATTATATTCCACTGTTGTAACAATAAATATTATACTCTGATGTTGTACTAAAAGTGATGTAAGAAATGGGTAAGAATGTTGTAAGCTTTATTCTCTCCTTTGTGATCCTGATGGTAAAAATGTGGATTTTTGGATTCTCCCCTGGGGTGTGCCCGACGGAACCGAGTAATTTAGTGTTTTCCCCGAGTGCTTAGTGTCTAATGGAAGACGAGCACTCCTGGGAGGCATTAGATTAGGCGGTTCTGCCATATCGTCTAACCCCTTGGGTTCATGCTCCGTCTCGCCAGACCCCTCGGGAGAGAGCTCCGTCTCGCCCGACCCCAAGGCCACGGGCTCCGTCTCGCCCGACTCCTTGGCTTCACGCTCCGTCTCGCCTGACCCCTCAGGTGAGAGCTCCGTCTCGCCCGACCCCAAGGAAGCGGGCTCCATCTCATCCAACCCCTTGGGTTCGTGCTCTGTCTCGCCAGACCCCAAGGCTGCAGGCTCCGTCTCGCCCAACGGGGACCAATACCGCCGCTAACCACTCCAGGTCCAAGCGTGTGAGCCTGGGTCAAAACTCTGACACCAGGGAAGAGACTGGCCCGCCTCTATGTAACCCGTGGCCATGACGGGCCATACCTGAGGGTTCATATCAAGAACAGTGTCGGGCGTGCCGGTGCTGTTCTGCCTAACATTCGTACGAACGTTGACAGGCACGTCAGTTCACCACGACGTCCACCGGAATGAAATGGAACGTCATGACCGGTAGATGACGCCTGCGCATGGCGCCAGTGACGAACATGGCCACGACGAGGAGCCGTCCCTGTTGACATCTACAGGATCGGTGGGACCCGCATGAAGAAGAAGGGCCCGATGATTCTGGAAGCCTTCTTCTCTCTCTCGTTCTTCTCCTTTTCCTCCGTTGTAACCCGTGCTTTCCCTTCGCCTATAAAAGGGGATGAAGGGGGATCCAGATCCGCACGAGACCAAACCACGAGATAAAAGCACAAGAGCACGACACGAGCACACGGTTGAGCAGCGATCAAGCTCTTAGCACCCATTCACTCCTTTTACCAGAGACTTGGGATCATTTCCCTCTCTCGCCTGTTTGTAAGCCCTACTGCAAACCAAGTGCCGGTAACACGAGCAGCAAACTAGACGTAGGGACGTTCCGCCTAAACCAGTATAAACTCTTGTGTCCGCCGAGCACACCATCCGAGACAGACGCGCAAATACAAATTTACTCGTCGGTGGTCCAAAAACACCGACAATTGGAAACTTGTTTTTAATAGTATAAGCATTCAATTTCCTATAGTCCACACACAGCCTCCATTCTCCGGATTTCTTCTTCACCGATAGAGCAGGAGAAGCAAAAGGACTAATACCCTCCTGAATCATGTTGGATTTTAGCAGATGAGCTATTTGTTTCTCTATTTCATCCTTCTGAGATGGTGTATACCTGTAAGGTTTCAGTCGAAAAGCTTGAACCCCTGGCACAAGAGGTATTGAGTGGGTAAGAGCTCTAGAAGGGGGAACTCCAGTGGGCTCCTCGAAAATCTCAGAAAACTACTAAATGAGCAGCTGCATTTCTGGTGGCACGTCAAGCTGTATACTGTCAGATGCTGATTCAACAGAATATAGCTCAACTATACCTCAAAGTGCATCTTGCTTCTCTAATGCCATCAGTTGATTTAGAGTGATTTCTTGACATGATGAGGCATCATCTGGAATTCCCTGGAGCTTAATATTAGAGCCCTGATAGAGAAAACTGAGCCACTTCTCCTTCCATTGGATATGAATAGGACTGAAAGCCTCCAACCATTCCATTCCCAAAATAGCATCATAATATTGGAGGGCCAAAATTTTGAAAGTGTTGGTGAACAGAACCCCTTGAGCACACCAAGAACAATTCACCACTTCATGTGTACAGGGAATCAGTGACCCATCTGCTACTCTAACAGACATAGAGTGGTGTACAGGTGTCCATGGATGCAGGTTAGCAGCTACACGCTCACTGATGAAATTATGAGAACTTCCTGAATCAACAAGTATTATAGCCGGCGTTTGCTGATATAAACATGCAGCTTAAGAGTGGGAGCAGCACTAGTGCCCTTGACGGCTTGATCAGATAATGACATCAGCTCATCAGGGTCAGAATCAGAAGAATTAGCCGTAGGATCTTCAAAACAGTCACCCAATAACTGCCAAACCTCTTCAATCATGTGCATAGGAACTGATGCTGGACACTTGTGTTGGGGTCTCCATTTGCCACCACACTTGAAACACAAACCTCTGGCGTTTCTGTAAGCCATGAGAGAAGCCAACTTTTCATCAGGTGGAGTAGGAGCATGCCCCATAGCTGGTTCTGTGGTAGTTTTAGTGTCAGCAGTCTTGGTAGAAATATTTCTAGCCACGGACTAAGTCTTGCTTGTATGCTTCGGTGAATATGATGAATAAGATGAATCCAGCTTCTTGTATTCTCTAGGAACATGTCCAGATAACACATCTTCCTGTAAAATGGCAAGAGAGCTCTCAGTATCCAAGTCTTTGGGGCGATGTAACAAAACAGCAGCTCTTATTTCAGGTTTTAAGCCATCAACAAATTTGCTAGTAAGGATAGCTGGGTTAACTAAAGGGTCATGAGCAAGGAGCTGGTGCATGAGATCATCAAAAAGGGTGATGTAATCTAAGACAGGACCAGACTGCTTGACATGGAAAAACTGACGAATGAAGTGATTAAACTGATCTCTGTCAAAACGGTCAACTACTAGCTTATAGATCTGTTCCCAGGTGCATTGTTTCAGATTAATTTCAATGGTTTGCATCCAAAAAGCAGCAGGACCTGAAGTTTATTGTGGCTAGCTTAACCCAATTTTCTACTGGAATGCCATATAGATCAAAGTATGTGTCACAGCGTTTGATCCATAATTTGGGGTTAGTACCATCAAATTTAGGGAAATCGAACTGAGGCATAGCTGGTCTCATATGGGAACAAGCACCACAGGGAGCTTGATGATAGAATTCAAAAGCAGAATGAGTATGATGGGATCCATGCTTTGTACCGTTGACCGGAGGTGGTTCGAGGGTGTAGACAACCCCCGGACTATCGATCCGGTGATGGGTTGCATCGTCGTGGCCAAAAGGCCCAGGTGCCGCCTTGGAAGAGGACGGGTCGAGATGAGCGGACCCTGGCACCTTGAGTGAAGCAGATCCTGGGCCATCGAGATGGGGTGTGGCCGAAGGGGAGGACGACTTGAGCTCGTCGAGTTGCTGGCGAAAATTGTCGATGCAGTCGCGCAGATCCACAACTTGGCCATCAACCTTGGGTCGCCAATGGTCGAAGTCAGCCTTGGCGGCGGTGAGCTCCGCCACTGATTCATGGATGCCGGTGAGGCGCCGGTTGGTCTCAGAGATCCCCTGCGATTGCTCGTCCAACTTCTTCAGGATCAACGCCAACTGATGTTCAACCTTCATCGTCACTTGCAGGCGAGTACGGTGTTCGTGAGCCAGTTCTTCGATCCGGAATTCGATTGCCGACCCGACAGACCTCGGCTCGGACCTATGAACTCTCGAAATCAACACCGAAGTGGATCGCGGAGCTCTGTCGACAGGGATTACCGTCGCGATCGAGACAACGAAGAGGAACGGATCAGAACAACAAATAGAGGCGGATGCGGAGAACTAGCGTGGGTGGATCGAACTGAATCTGATACTAGATGTAACGATGCTAGTGGCTACGAACGATTGGTTTACGGATTAAGATTCTCAGTTAAGTGGCTGGATACAAAACAATGGTAATGGTGGTCGCCGGTGTTCTTCTCGAGCCGCAGCTCGCCGCCAGGTTCTGATGCCAACCAAGACGAAAGCCAAAAGGAATTCATCTCTCCGTTCAACTACTCACAGTTACAGCGGTGTGATGGACCGCACGGGTTCCCGACGCCACGGGCCTGCTCACTTGCCCCATTCTAGGCCGCTGTACTTGGTGCTGGGCTTCCTCTCTCTTTTGTCCTTAGACTTCTTCTTGACTGGTAGGTTGTCAATATGTCGTACCGTGACACTGCAACTCGTCGAACCACCCTGGAACGCCGTCGGTTTGGCGGTTTTTGTCGAAGGCGGCGACGGCGAGGGCGCTGTAGTTGCGGATCGCGTCGGGTATCCCGCCCGTGAACGCGTTGTCACAGAGGCTGAGGTACGAGAGCCGCCGCACTACTGGACTCGCATGCTTTGCCGAGGGCCTCTGGCCCTCGGCAAAGGACCAGAAACCCTCGGCAAAGGCTTTGCCGGGGGCTGCCCTCGGCAAAGACGCCTCGGGGAATTTTTAGACGGCGAAGGGGTCTTTGCCGAGGGCCCTTTATCGGGCACTCGGCAAAGAAAAGAAACCATCACGCGCCGGCGCCGTTGGCGGTTTCTTTGCCGAGGGCCGACCCTTGGCAAAGAAGTGGTTTTTTTTTGAATTTTTTTTGCCGAGGGCCGGCCCTCAGCAAAGAAATAATTTTTTTTTGAATTTTTTTAAAAACCTTTGCCGAGGGCCTGCTCCCTGGCCCTCGTCAAAGAAATTTTCAGGATTTTTAAAAAAATCTTTGCCGAGGGCTATTGCTAGGGCCCTCGGCAAAGGACCCTTCTTTGCCGAGGGCCTTGGTCATTGCCCTCGGCAAAGAGACAGAAATTTAATTTTTTTTTTGTTTTTTGCATTCCATCGACACAAGCATTTCATATATATACATATATATATCACACATAACCCATTTTCTCACAATATATCACAACCATAATTGTGAACCACAATTCACAATATATTACAATGACAAGTCACATGTTCATCATCATTCACATGTTTATTTCGACAAGTTAATGAAATCCAAGCACAAGTCACAACCATAAATCACAAATCACGCTAAAGTCCAACCACATCACCTAGCACAAGTCCTAATCAAGCTAGCCTATGAGACGATAGTGAAGGAAAAGCAGGATCACCCGGTGACGCACTAGCGGGTTGATTGGAACCCGCGGACGAAAGCTGCACAAAGGAGCAGAGATTGCATGTGTGAGTAATCCGGGAAAATAGTTTTGAAACTTAGAGATTGCATCTAGTAATCTAGAAATACAAAAAGATTAGACTCAATTGAAAATTTCGGCAGCACCTCCCCTGCACGGGGAGGTTTCCAAAACCTGCAAGAAACGACGGCACGAACGCCGACATCCACAATGGCACGAACGCCGACATCCACAACGGCATGAAGGCCGACATACATGCAAAGCACAAGCAAAAAGTGAACTTTCATACTTACAGGAGTAGCTGCAGGAGTAGGAGGTGGAGGAGCTGAAAACTGCACAGGTACACCCGATGCTTGCCCAAGACTTTGCATGATCACCATTATCTCCGCCATCTACTTCTGCGCGGCCTCGAACGCGACCTTCTGGGCCTGTAGCTGTGCGGTTAGCTCCACGTTCTGCTCTTGACTTTGCCTTCTTGTTTCTTGCAGCTCGGCCTGCAATATTTCACTCCAATGTATCAGTAATACAAATCTAATTTAGGTGTGTAAATATCTACGTACGACGAGTAAAGCAGGAATTACCTAGAGTGCTTGGACCTGCTGTAGTGCTGGAGAAGTCCGTGGACGTATGGGCTGGCTGGAGCTCATGCTCCATGCTCGGATAGCGTCGAGGGAGGGAACAGTGGTGGAGTCGATGACGCCGTCTGCAATCCATAGCCGCCCGTGCTTCTTGCCTCCTCCGAGCCTCATGATCGCCTCTGCATAAATAGGCTCAGTGCGCATATTGTAATCTTCCCCATAGATCTCCCTTACCGTTGACGTGTACTCTTGGACTTTAGTGTACACGTTCGGGTCGGAGTACGCCTAGGGCGGGGCAGCCGGGTCGAAAGAGATAGAGGACGACACCCTGCCCATGTGGGACATAGCCCACGCAGAGAACTCCGAGACCTCCTCGCCCGGGTGCGCAGCCTCCTGCGAGAAAGATGGGAAGATGGTGAGAAATCAAGTAGAATTGAGCGTCAAAATAAATGAAAGAAATCACTTACGTATGCTTGTTTGTATCCGGGGAGGCTACGGCTGCCTTGATGGTGAGTTGGACCTTGCCTCATCAGACGTTGTTCCCGCAGCCTCTCGTGCGTGTCAACAAAGTCCTGTCATAACCACTTGTCCACGATCATGGTCCAGCACTCGGGATACGATCGGCACCACTAGGGAATCACCTACAAGTCATCGAGTATTTGACATATAAGAAGATGAAATGGAACCTACTTAATATCAAAATGAATCATTATGAATGTTATTCGCCTACCTCAAGGTACTGGTCTCGGGTCAGCGTAATCCGTCTTGCTTGAGGCTTGGGGAGGGACTGCCTAAGTACCGACCTATAGTAGTCTATGTGGGCCTGGACACACCCATGGTGGTGCATCTCGGTGATGTACTTCCTACAAGCTGCGGCAGCCGCCCGATCCACCTAGGCCTTAAGTCCTTCTTCGGCCTTGAAATATTTCTGCATACAAAACCGATGTATCCATTCATTATTTCAATAAAAGATTTAACCAATGAATGCGATGTATTAAGCAATGTTGTGCGAGAGAGACTTACCCAAAACTCTGCCAATACTCGCTCCTGCTTGTTGCGGTAAGTGTCATCCGTGACCAGCGCGTACCTGTCCCAGTTGGAGGCCGGCTCCCACACCACCGGCTCTTCGGATAGTTGCACAATGCCGGGGTACCATTTCCTGCACAAAACACCAAGGATGCTCGCGGGGGTGCGTGCTGGAGTACCCGACAAAACCAACCAGGCCCTGCACAAGTGATTAAGAAAATTTATCAGTTTCTCTTAAGATTTCCAACATATCTTATGAAGTAGTTGTGATAACATCCATAGTTACTTACCTCTTTGTCATAGGCCGAATCACTGGGCGGTTGTGAGGAAGCGGAACCGGAGGGAGGCTCGCGGGACCTCGCTCGTAGAGAGTCCGGGTAGCGGTACCCTCTCCCTCGCCCTCGAGCGCCTCGCCTCCCTCGCCCATCTGCTGACCCCTCTCGTCCTCCGACGAGGACGAGGCCGTGGCCATCACGTGCTCCTCCTCCAGCACCTCATCATGTGTCGAGGGAGGAGACCGCTGCCTCCTACGGCGGCTGCCCCTGGTCCTCCTCTCGTCACCTTCTACGGACGCTGCCCTGGACGACGACCCCTCACCTCGAAGGAGAGGGCGGTCTCTCCCGTAAACCGAGGGCGTGTCACGGCGTGGACGTCTGCTCGCCATCTTTGTCCAATTACCTGCAATCACAAAGAATAAACAAGACTAATTAGTACATATATTAGAAATAGATTCAAAATATATAAACAAAACACAAATTAAAAAACCATAGTATTACATGTATTAGGAATAATCTTCATGATTGGGATCATAGGTCTCATCATCACTGTCAAAATTATCCAAATGGGCAACACTATCCGAAGGTTCTATGTTGTCATAGTCGTTATTGCCTAGAAGTAATCGCTCAAGCATTGCTATGTCCTTGGAATTTACCACCACATCTCCATGGACCTCGTCATCAACCGTTTTGTTGTCTACTTCCATTTCGATTGCTTCGGGTAAGACTATCTCAAACGTGCCTGGTAGCCCATCTTCTTGATAGAACTGTCCATCATATGTGTTTGCGTTGAAGCTGTAATCATCATCGTTTGGGGCAGGTAGTTTACCATGTGGAGATACCTGGTGCACAATAGCCCAACCCTTAAGGTCCTCTTTGTCTTGGTTGGCGTATCGAGTATAATACACCTGCACGCCCTGTTGAGCCACAATGTAGACATCTTTTCCAGGATAGATGGAATCTTCTCGAATCTCCACTAGCCCAAGATGAGGGGTTCGTCTCGTTGATCGAGGATTAAACCAGTGGCATTTGAACATGACAGGTTTAAGAGGTTCATCTCCATGAAATAAGAGTTCATAGATTTCCTCAACTCTACCATGATAGTAGAGGCCATAAGTGACGGGCGTACAAACTCCGCTATTTGTGGTTTTTCGTTTGGGCCGAATCTACTCGTAACTTGTTGTGTGGAAGCGATATCCGTTCACGTCATAGCCGGTAAATGACTTCACCCTAACATCACAGCCGTTTGCAACCTGTTTCAACTCGTCGCTCATGGACAAATCGGTCTGGGCCTGCAAGGTGAATCATGATAGATCGTTATATTAATCAAACGCACGATCACCTTGGACGATCGAACGTACGAGCTAAATTGGACATTACCTTTTGTTGGAACCAAGAAATGAAATCAGGCCTCCCCGCTCCCGCACCCCACGAAACAAGGGTGTCTTGTTCATGCGAGGTAGGATCCCTTGATTGATGTCGGAATTCACGAACAAATTCCCTGTCCGAACGAGAATCAATGGGGTTGGATGCAGAATAGTGACGGCATATTGAAATAAGTTCGTTGAGAACTTACTTGATGAACGGCTGCACCTCGGTAAGGTTATTCAACACATATAGCATGATACTGCGCCACTCTTCATTTCCTAATAGCTTTGGGGTTGATCCACTTGCACTGCCGAGTTGGCCTTGGAAAAGGCTCAGGGTCGATTCATTTTCGCCAGTATTGTAATGAGGGGGTGGATTATGCTTGCTAGGAAGGTTCGGCTTGTAGTATAGCATTGTGAAGTTTGCCACCTCCTCCCGAAGGCATGCCTCTGCAATGGAAGCCTCAATTCTGGCTTTATTTGTACATTTTTTGCGAAGAGTCTTTAGACATCTCTCGATTGGATATCACCAACGGGCCTGCACGGGCCCCCCCAAACGTGCCTCGAACGGGAGGTGCACAATCAGATGTTGCATCGGCAAGAAGAAGTCAGGTGGAAAGATCTTCTCTAGCTTACAGAGCAACACAGGTGCCGCTTTTTCTAAGTCCTGAGCGACGGTCCGAGATATCTCCTTGGCACAAAGCTGGCGGAAGAAAAAGCTCAACTCTGCCAGCACTTGCCAGACATGCTCAGGGACATAGCCTCGGACCATCGCCGGAAGAAGCCGCTCAATCCATATGTGGTAGTCATGACTCTTCATCCCGTTAACTCGTAGAGTGCCTAAGTTCACTCCCCGCTAAGATTCACCGATATCCATCTCGGAAACATTAACATCTGCATCCATTTTAGTACCTCCTCCTTTGATCGATTTGCAAGACGAAATTGACCTTAGGCCTTTTCCAGTTCTTGTTTCGCCACTAGGAGGTCTGCATCGCTTGATTCGGTCTATCGCTGGCGTCACTAGGTCCACTCTAGCCTTAACGTTGTCCTTAGACTTGTCGCTGTCCATGAGAGTTCCCCAAAGTGCCTCGGCGATATTCTTTTTCAAAGATGCATTACATCAATGTTATGTGGCGGAAGAAGGTCATCGAAATAGGGGAGCCTCGTCAAGCCAGATTTATGAGTCCACATATGTTCCTCACCGTATCCCACAAAACCACCTTCTTCATTGGGCACGAGAGCATCTATCTGAACACGAACCTCGGCACCAGTCCTCAAGTGCGGTTTAGGGTCTGCCACTTTGACACCTTTCGTAAAGCTCTTGATGTCTTCTCTAAATTCATGGTTTAGAGGGAGGAACCGGCGATGCTGGGTCGAACGCATTTAATACTTGCCACCCTTCTTCAACCAAATGAACCTCACGGCTTCCTTGCATACTTTGGGCATGGGAACTTCCCATGAACACACCAAAGCGACAAATAACCCATACGCCAGAAGTCATGCGAGGGGAGTAGTGGTACCAAACATGCATTTTGAAGCTTGTCTTTGTAGCTCGATCGTATGTCCATGCCCTTCTCCTAAGCGTGGATCAATTCATCAATCACAGCTCCATGAACACACCCATATTACTCCCCGGGTGTCCGGAATTATCAACGACAAGAATACGTTATGCCGCTGAAAGGAGATGCCGGAGGGAGATTGAGGGGATAACAAAACGGGCCAAATGTGTATGGGGCAGCCATCATTCCATAAGGATTGAACCCATCTGCTGCCGCCGCGACATGTACATTACGGGCCTCACCGCTTTGTCACGATGTTTGTCATTGAAATACGTCCATGCTTCAAGATCGACGGATGTACCATCTTCCCGTGGATTGTACCGCTTACCATCTTTGTGCCATGTCATCTGCTTCGTGGATTCCTCGGTCCATGAATAGCCGCTGGATCCTCGGTAGGAAAGGAAGGTGACATAGCACTCTCAAGGAGATCTAAGTCGCTTCTTCTAACCATCACGAGTCTACCTCCGTGAACTCGGAGGATTTACACTTCAGACGATGAATTTGCATCCTTGTGTTCTTTCCTAAATAGGACGCACTTTCTGACAAAGCATGTATCTTGTCATACGGCATCTTAAGCATATGAAGGAGTTTCTCCGCCTCGCATAAGTTTGTCGGCAAAGTGTGCTTCTTCGGTAGCATGGTGCCAAACACGATAACATCTTATCGAAGCCTTCTCGACTCAGTTTAACTCGGCCTTCAACCCCATTACGCGTCCAATCGCATCCAAATTGAAATCATTGTACGCTTTCGTGAAGGGGTTTCGTGTCGAGTCCAACATTTTGTAGAAGTCCTTTGCGGATTCCTCCATCTCCTCCTTCTCACGTCGTTCAAATGAAGTGAGCTTGGTGGCGCCATCTAGCATGTCTGCTACCCCGCATCATCATCAAAAGCCTCGAGGCGTGGTCTCACCACCTCCGCTCTTATACGATCTGCTTCACCATGGTAGATCCACTTCTTTGGTAGCTAGGCGATAACCATTGAACACAAGATGTCTACCCATGGTCTTCTCGTCTACTTTTCTCCTGTTGTCACATTTGCTCGCAGGGACACCAAACTAGAGAATGTCCTCCCCGCCTCCCGGGCCAAATGCATGTTTCAAGAAACCATCTGTCCCCTTCACCCATTCATAGTCGTAGTCACTCCCGCTTCTCCAGCCCGTGTACATCCACTGACGGTCCTCCATCCTTTAACATTTACAGCATAGAGTATTGTGACCATCAATTGCATCTACGCGGTGTTCCTACTATCTAATAGGTGAGGATAGGTCCTAATCCCAACCATGGATGCGTAGATGAGGTCAGTTTCCATGCTCCACTCCTCTCCGAGATAGAATTTCGGCAGCACCTCCCCGCTGTTCTTCCGATACACGTCCTGCAAGGGAGAGTGTGTATCCGGAGAACAACAGGGAGGTGTTGCTGAAACTCCTTCTCGGACCGGAGCGGACCATGGAAACTAACCCATCTACGCATCCATGGGTTGTCCAAAAAACGTGGACAATCCAAAACAGATACGGTCGCAGATATGCAAAGATCCGCATACCTACGACAGTATCTCTTTCGGACAGGAGACGCCTAACTGGGTTACGCGCGGGCTACGACAGACATGCACAAAAAGAGGTTATTTATACCTAGGGTGTCGGTGAAGTAAGGCTAGCGGGCTTAATCGACGCAGTTGGCGAGGCGACGCAGTCAGTGCGCGTAACATGCTGACGTCGACAAAGACGATCGGGGTCCTCCGGTCCCTCCGACGCATTTCTTCTCCCGCATAAAAAGACAATAGGTTATTTTTGTTCAAAATTTGGCAGCACCTCCCTCACGGGAGGTTTCCAAAACTCGCAAAAAAAAATGACACGATGGCCGACATTCACAACGGCACGAAGGTCGACAACCACAATGGCACGAAGGCCCTCGTATCAACTTACGGCACGAAGGCCCACACAACCACATACGGCACGAAGGCCGACAACGAGAGTTTTACCTAGGGTTGCGGTGGAGTCGGGCATCGCGGTGCGGGGGTCACTTTCTTCTCCAGCGAGGTCGAGCGGCGTTGGAGTACTCCTCTCCCCCTCTTCCCTTTCTTCTCTCCTTTTCCTCTTCTTCTCCTTCTCTTCCCCTTCCTCCTTCTCCTCTTCTTCTCCTTTTCATCCCCTTCCTCCTTCTCCTCTTCTCCTTCTCTTCTTCCTCCAACTTCACCCTCTGCCTCCTCCCCTCCAACAGCAGCCGGCGACGGGGGCGGCTTGGGGGCTGGGGTCGGGGCGGGAAGGCCGGCGAGGGGGAGCCACCGGAGGGCCGGCCGGGGCGGCCAACCTCCCCTTGCTCGACGGAGACGGGGAACGGAGGCAGGGCGCGACCTCGGTCGCCATGGCGTGGCGGCGCCGGGGCGCCGGGCGGCCGGCGGCCGCTGGGCGGCAGGCTGGTGGCAAGGCAGGTGGCGGCGGGCACGCCGGCGGCGGTGGTGGAGGCGCTGGGCAACTGGGTGCACGCTACAAGGCGCTAGCGCGCGGCCAGTCTGGGCGGCCGGGCCAAGCCAAGCGGCTGCGGCGGGCAACAGCGCGCTTGGGCCAGTGGTGGAGGCGCTGGCGACCAGGTGGTGCGCGCTGGTGGGGGGGCGCGGGCGGCCAGGCTCGGGGCAGCTTCTTGCAGAAGCAGCAGCGGCATGGCGGGGCACGCGGGCGGGCGTGGTGCTGCGGCGGGCGGTGGTGGTGGGGGGCCAATGGCCATGAAGCAAGGCGTGTGGGGAGGGAGATGGTCGAGCGGTTTTTTTTCACAAGATTCCGATCGAGAATTTGGGCTGCGGCCCGATTTAGGTTTCGTTCCTTTGTCGAGGGCCCAGATCTAGGACCCTCGGCAAAGATTTTTTATTTTTATTTTTAAAATTCTTTGCCGAGGGCCACGGGCCAGGCCCTCGGCAAAGAGCCCTTGACAATTTTTTTTTGGTTTTTTAGCCCAGTTTTTTTGTGGTCCTACAATACATTGTTTTGAACTCAATTTTAAAATTTAGGCCAATTTTGATTTTGTTTTGTATATTTCCTTAATTTATTTCGATTCTTTGATTTTTTTCGAATATGTCAAATTTGAACTGCAGGTGCATGGAATATTGCAATGTAGTGTTTCGAAAAATATTATTCATGTTAATTGGTGCATGTTGAGTCCCTATCCACGAACTCGCATCAAATTTCGCGCATCTTGTTCGCGTAACATGACGACCGACTTGCCAGAAAAGTGTTTTAAAATTATATAAAATCCATACGAAGTCCGAAAATCATGAAACTTGGCGAGATGTCATGTTATCGCATGTGTAGGCTGTGGTAAAAAATTGAGAAGGTTTCGAGTAAGTTGCGACATCGGATGCCTGAAACCCAGACATCTCCACATGTGATCACAAAACAATGTATTGTAGCACCACAAAAAAACTGGGCTAAAAAAACCAAAAAAAAATTGCCGAGGGCCTGGCCCGTGACCCTCGGCAAAGAATTTAAAAAAATATATTTGCCGAGGGCCTATCTTAGCCCTCGGCAAAGGGCTTCTTTGCCGAGGGCCTAGCCTTGGGCTCTCAACAAAGACGATTTATAAAAAAAAATTAGCCGAAAAACTGGTTTTAAAAAAAATCTTTGCCGAGGGCTTGGTCTAGGACCCTCGGCAAAGACTTAAAAAAAATTGCCGCAAAAGATGGTTCACAGAACAAAAAAATCTTTACCGAGGGCCTAACGGGTGGCCCTCGGCAAAGCTTGACGGGAAATGGCCGCCATGACCCAACGGGCCTAATTTACCGAGGGCATCTTTACCGAGGGCCGCGGCCCTCGGCAAAGATTTGATTTGTCGTGGGCCTGTCTTTGCCGAGGGGCGGCCGTACGCTCGGCAAAGGCCTCTTTGCCGAGGGCCGTTTTTTGTCGATGGCTCCTGTTGCTGACCCTCGGCAAAGAGTGTCTTTGCCGAGTGCCCGAGATTTGGTCCTCGGCGAAGCCTCGGGCCCTCGGCAAAGCACGCGTTTCCAGTAGTGCCGGAACGGCCGAGGCTCGTTGGGATCGTCCCGGAGACACCGTTGTCGGTGAGGTTGAGGACCTTGAGGTGCGTGAGGTCGCCGACGGCCGGGGATAGCTTCCCCGTGACGCCGTGCCCGGACACGTCCAGTGACGTGACGCGCCCCGCGGTGCAGCTCACGCCGGGCCACCGGCAGAAATGCACCGCGTCGTTCCACCACAGGAGCTTGCCCGTCGGGTCCGACACGCCGGCCTTGAACGCTAGCAGCGCATCCCGGTCGGTGCCTGCAGCCGCCGCCACCGCCAGTGCGCCCAGTGGCAAGAGCAGTAGCGGCACCAGCACCATGAGTCCTGCTCTAGCTCGCCGCGCCATGCTCTGTGGCTTGTGCTCTCTGCTCTGTACTGTGATCCTAGCCAGCAGTAGCTTGCGGCGACCAAGCTCATGAGGACGTAGAGCTACTTAGAACGCAAGCATGGCTATCCATTTCCATCTGGCAGTCAATCAATAGATTACAGATAGACGGCGGCGGCGTTGTTGTTAGCTTTCCTGCACTGGCAACGTGCGAGGAGAGTTAGACATGTCACTCTCTGGCACTTGACTGAACAAGTGGTGGATTGCAAATGAGCTTTCATCGTTCTTTCTGACTTCATGTAACAAGCTTTTTTTAGGGCGTTTACATCAAACTAGAGGTCGCTGACTTCATTATTATGAATGTTTGGATTGACTTTTTTTTTCAGAAACTCGGAAATGACAGGGTGTTTGGTACGATGCATTTGATCGACCCGCATTGAGCTCCGCGACGTGCAATTCCTTGGAATTGGAATGTTTGGGCTTGCATTATTGCACGCTGATCTGAATACCTTTCCTTTTTAAAGGCGGCTTATTTTCGCTGTCCATGTTCTTGCTTATTACTCGATGGAGATAAAAGATACCCCGCTTATTACTAGTATGCTAACTACCTCGCTTCTTGTGAGCCTTGGTGCCCCTGGCACCAGCAGATTGGACGAGTCTGCCACTCGACTGCAACCAAGAGATGGATTTGAGTGCAAGTCCTGTACGTAGGAGCTTCGGTTCTGACTTCTGATGATATCGAGATTGATCATTCTAGTGGAGCTAAAAAAAATGCACAAATATTAAACCTTCTTAAGAATAATTAATGCAAACTCTAACATGCGGTAGGTAGGTCGCATGCTCGCGCAATCACGCGACCCCAGCTCCACTGCACCGTCACCGCAGGAGAAGATGGTTAGGGGTTAGGGTTCCTAGATTGTCAGGGATTCCAATCACCGCGGCTCTAGAAAGGGGTTTGGGGATGGCGGTCACAACACTGAGGTGTGGGCGTGTGGCGAGGTGACGAGGTCACCGTTGCAGCCGCATGCAATATGAGGGCGGAGGGTGGGGCTAGCAGTGGGCATCGCCGAGCAAGTGGTCACCAACGCCCCTAGGATTAAGGTAATGCTTTGTACAGGCAGTGGCGGGTCTAGGACAAAAAAATCACCTATGGTGAACTTTATACTGCTAATTTTTGCAGTGGTGCGATGTTATAGGAAATAAGTAATAATAGAGCAAAATAATATATGTATACTAGCACCAGTAGAGAAACTACTTTTACTCCCGGTTCGCAACCCCCTTTAGTCCCGGTTTTGGAACCGGGAGCACGAATCCGGGACTAAAGGGCCCCTCCTTTAGTCCCGGTTTCGCGCCGGGGACTAAAGGTGGACCTTTAGTCCGGTTGGTAATACCAACCGGGGCTAAACCCTGTAGTCCCGGTTGATAATACCAACCGGGACTAAAGGTTTTTTTTTCTTTTTTTTGTTTCTATTTCTATTTTCACGCTGCTACCAGGTTTTTTTTGTTTCTATTTCTATTTTTCTTTTTTTTTCTATTTTCACGCTGCTACCGAACTAAAGGTTTTCTTTTTTTTTGTTTCTATTTCTATTTTCTTTTTTTTCTTTTTTTAATTGATGATTCGTTTTGGTTTTTGAATACGCATTCTACGCTGCTAGAATATACGTACGTTTATAATGTTCAACATTTTGTATAAACTATAGTACGAATGACCTTTAGTCAAGGATCAGCGGTACAATCCCATAGAGCAGATCCTGTTCAAGTTCGTGCTGCATGGTTCGAAAGCTGAGCTTTTAAGTTAGCTTTCACTTTTCTGAACAAGCGAGGTGGTGCTAATAGGTGGGACTGGCCAGCAATTCCAGCATATTGCGTACTGGGCCGGCCCATCGAAGCTCCTATAAACACCCGGGACTAAAAGACCTTTAGTCCCGGCTGGTAATACCAGCCGGGACTAAAAGTATATCTTTAGTCCCGGCTCGTAATACCAGCCGGAACTAATTGATTTCCTACGTACTAGTGTAGCAGCTAGCTAGCAGTCCTCGATGGTCAGCCGGGATCAGCCGGGACTAATTGATTTCCTACGTACGTAGCAGCTAGCTAGCAGAGAGACACGTACTGACATGTCCTGACGGTGAACAGCTAGCTAATGTACTAGCTAGCTAATGTAGCAGCTACTCTACGTACTAGTCCCGGTTGAACAAAATGTCGCTCCCGTATTCGGTTGGAGACCTTTAGTCCCGGTTGAAGACAGCAATCGGGACTAAAGGTTCATTTCTAATCTCGGACGGAGCCTAACCGGGAGTAGACTTTTACTCCCGGTTGGAGGGACCAGCCGGGAGTAAAAGTTAACATTTAGTCCCGGTTGGTAGCTCCAACCGGGACTAAAGGTCCCCTACAACAAAAGGCTACCACAGTAGCCGTTGGGCAGGACCTTTAGTCCCGGTTAGAGCTACCAACCGGTACTAAAGGTTTCTCTAGTCCCGGGCACAAAAAATACCGGGACTAAAGCCAAATTTCAAAGTAGATCAAAAGTCATTTCTCTACTAGTGTAGTAAACCATGTCACAATATCATAAATGACGTTCTAATTATATTAACAATTGATCATGCATGAAAACAACTAAAAGGTGAAATCAAATAAGGGATAATTTTAATGAGGGTGAATGAACATACCAATTGAAGATTAGACACTATGTCTTAGAGTACGTGTTAAATTCATATAAAGTACCTCTTCGTCCACAACTATCAATAAAAAAGTATTGTATCAAACATTCAAACATCAGCTGTTTGTGGATCAATTTCACTACTACAACCTGCCTATAGGAGAATCAAATTCAGATTTCCGAATCACTGATTTTTTTTTGAGAAAAAAGGTTGGATTTCATTCATAGTTCTATTACATCCAGTCCCTTAAACAGGGCACTCCTATCATAAGAGAAAATTACATAGAAATCTACGCTAGGAGCACCCAACGATCCTTGCCACTGCTGACCACCATTGCCGCAAGCCAAGCCTTCTCCATCTCCCGCAATAAAGAAGAACTCTGGATGAAACTCAACGCCGGAACCTGAGTCGATGACAAGATTTTCAAAGCCCATCACTAGCACACTAGAAGCATGTCGTTTATCCGCTGAACGCCCCGGGCAGTCCTCACATTCACCAGGCTCGGTCGCCGATCGTCTCATGTGGCAGAACCACCTGAAATAGCACACTTACGGAGGCGCTCGTCTTCCACCAGACACTAAGCACCCTGAAAGCACACTACAGCGGCGGTATCCATCGGGCACACCCCAAGGGAGAACCTGAAAGATCCATATTTTTTCCCAAGGATCAATAATGAGAACGAGTTACAATACTTAATCCATTTCATACATCCAGAGTTCATAAAATTATATTATTACATTTCCAAAGTCAGAGTGTGGAATATTAAACAGCGGAATTAAAAGTAAACATCTAGCGATAAAGAACGAGGATCCGTCTGTGCCCACCAAAAGAATCCTCCACACAATGGTACCCTTCAAGCATTACCTGCAACAGGGATAAATAAACCCTGAGTACACAATGTACTCGCAAGACTTATTCGACCAGTGGGAATAATTTCCCGACTCCAAGGAATATGATAAGCTTTATGGTTTGCTGGTTTCCTTTTTGCAGAAAGCAATACTAATAATGAGTCCTTATTTATGTTATTATTAATAGTCGTATTAATTTATTATTTAGCCATTCTACGTAAGCACATATTCTACTTTCAAGCAAGAGTTGAGCAATCAGTTTTATTTCATCACCTTCCGTCTTTTAGTTCTTACTATGATGTTAAACCATAGACAAGCCGTACCAGAACACCGACGATTCACGAATCAATGCCCCAGCTAGGTACCCCGAAAACACACACCTTGCTTGTACCCTAGGCACAAGCAGGACCAACCCATCACCCTCCTGTCATGGGGTCCAGATCCCCGTCCAAACTTGGACTCCAAGCCCCCGCTTCTAAGTTCTGGACTTAGTGCGGTACAAGGACCTCCACCATCCCCGCCTCCAATCAATCGGTCCAGAAAGAGCCGAAACCCACGACAAGAGAGCAACAAGTCTTCCCTGCGCCCATACCCAAGTATGTGCTTGGGATAATAAATCTATGGTTTGCCTAGAGCCATATGCAACAGCCGGTCCTTAACCGACACAGATAGGGAAAAAGTGTAACCAAGCTATGCCCTGTTGGTCGTAGGACATAACTTTTTACACCCACCAATAACCAAACTACATCCCTGTCCGGTCACCATTTTTTCCCACCATTTTATCATGAGTGATCATAATTTTCACATGTTGTGAGTAACGGCAGGTTACTCACGCTACCGAAATTCTGAGTATAGCAGCTACTCGGCCTATACTAGTAGGACTCATAGGTAGATATATTTATGCATGCAGTTTTCATAAAATGCCTGTAACGTAAATGCACATCATATATATATTCAGTCATCATTAAAAATAGGGTTATGCACCGGGACTTGCCTTGGGCAGGCGGTGGGTCAGCAAAGTCAGCACCAAAAGGCTCCAGGGCTCCCTCCTGCACGAGGATCTGCTCATACTCCTCAGTGACATCTTCGTAATCTTGTTCGTCCATGGGCACGAACTCTACCAACTCGTGATCTACATGTATGAAATGATGATGCAACACTTAGTAATACGACAACAACAGCTCTTAAAATAAAATACATCTATCAAGTTACTAAGCTAAGTTACCTACTGTTACCACTAACAAGTATGAAGCATGACATATATTATCTTAGCAACTAAAGGTATTCCTACTCCTAATACCGATTTATTCCATATATGATAAAATAAGGGTACTAGCTATTCTATTTATCAACCTACTCTAGTGCTACAAAATTTACGGTGAGTACATAATAATCTAATGGTCTTACTGTAAAAATTTTATGGCTAAATCTATCATCAATTTGTCACAAAAATTTCTATAAATATTAATCTACATAATACTAAGCTCTCTAATTTGAATTTATAAACCTACCA